GATTTTTGTAGTGAAAAGACCATAGTTATGGGAGTGTTCTGACTAGTAGGCAATGTGTAGGTGGCTCCATGGAGGTTGCATGATGATATACAGTACCTTAGCTGTAAAGTACAGATTTTACTTCCCTTTGACGTACATGTGCGCTATACTGAACTCTTTCTCTGGTACACGTGCGTTCTTGTTTGTTGAACCAGGCAATGTTCTGGGTGTGGTCGGTGTATGCGGCCGGTGGCCCAAGGAGAAGTACGACTTTGCCAGCGCCAGGGCCGCCGCCAAGTCCATAGCTGCGGACAATGAGAACGTGAGTGTACGATGATGCAATCTGAGCACGAGGCAATACATGTAGCGGCATTTCATTGTGTTGTTTTTGCTGGAACCATTGGGTTTACATCATCAACTCTGCATGCACCAGCATTTGACTGGTTACGGTAAACCACTGTAGTCCGTGCCTTGCTTTTGACTGAGGTTGAATGCAAGGTACGGATGGTTGTGGGCCTGTTACGGTTTCAATGTACTTAAAAAAGTATATTGAAACCTGTCGAAGGCGCCCATTTGAAGGACCTTCAAAATGTGCACAGATGGTGTCCTTATCCAGGGTCATTTGGCAGGAAGTAACATCCCTTGGTCCTAGTTGTAGTGGTCCTCTTGGACGGGTGGCCACCTTATCCGAGTGATCGCCTTGACAGGTTTTACTGTCAGTTGAATAACTTTTTACCTTTGCCTTGCACACTTGGAGCACGTTAATATTCGTTTGATTCGGCATGAGTGTGTAGCCAATATGCGGTTTATTAGGATCAAAGAATTAGGACACATTACACAAGTCTGTTTGGCTGATGGCCTAACCCAGTATCACAGGCCTTACTTGCAAGGTCTCCAACTGTCACATGGGCAATGTAGTGCCCCCCCCCCCCACGTTGTAAGTGTTTTCAAGTCTTCCTCATTTCTTCAAGTGCTGCTAGCTAGCACGGGTGTGTCAGACAATTTTATACTGATTTCCGCGTGCGTCTGTTTCGTGTGTTGGTGCATTCATACATGTATGTACTGTGTACACGACAGGCGCTGGTTTTCGCCGAGTCCTTGCTGGTGTGTACGGTTCTGGACGATGGTCAGTTGTCCTGTGAAAGTTGCACGTCAGCTGGCAGTTACGCATCTGTCGACATCACGGGTGCTGATGGCAAGTGCTGTCCTTCTAGCCTAGCGGAGACTGCGATGCTGTGCCGTGTGAAGGCGTCATTGAGTCTCAGTTTCCAGTTTGCTGCGAATGAAAGTGAGTGGTGGAATGTGTCAATTGCAAACGATGTGGATAGGGTTTTACTTGAGAGGGGCTTTTATGTTTCAAACGGTCTTCGCCATAGATGTGCGTGTGTGTGTGTGTGTGGGGGGGGGGGGGGTATTCGAGAGGGATATTCCTGCGAGTGTGCACAATAAGCGAACCCACAGGTTACGGAAGAGCGAATAAGTGAGGGTGTACAGTCTGCACCGGCTATAGAGTGACCGGATATAAGAATATATCGGCTACAGTGATATTGGTACGAAATATCAAAAGCAAAACGTATTTCATCCAGTACAAATATCACTATAACCAATATTATCGGATGTAATGATAATATCGGATATTATGATGGCAACAAAGAATCAAAACATGCATAACACACTACATGTATATTATTATCGGCTATAGTGATAACTTTAAAATACATGTAGCAATAATATCAAAGACCCTATTTTTGTACTTTCTTCACGTTGCTTATTTTTATAGTGATACATGTACATGTACATAACAGATTTTTTTAATGGAAATGCGGGCACTGTCAACTATGCAGCATGCTCATTTGTCAAAACGCCATGCTGGAAGTATTTCCTTGCCTTTCATGTGTTGATCGAAAAAAGAAGAAAAAAATCGATCGTATCGCATATAGTGATGCATTGGTTATAGTGATAAAATCACGGAAATCAAAAGGGTACGTTATAGCCGATACAGACTGTACTGTCAAATTTTGATATTTCACCGGGTCATTTCGAATCTGAAACTTAGCTCATTGTAAACGATGGCCATATAGAAAACATGCCAAGTTAAGTTTGCCGAAGGAAGTGCCGTGGTTTCGTTGTGCCTGATTGTCTGTTTTCAGCTGGGAAGAGTTGCCAGTCCTTGGCGGAGGAGTTTGGCCGAGTTCATGACAAGCTGTCGTCTGATCGCTCGGCGTTCTTCATTGATTCCACGCTGGTGACGCGTAATGCAGACAGTGCAACAAGCATCGGAGATTTGCGATCAGGATCTGGGCAGCAGCGTGGGCAGAACGAAGTAAGCAGTTTGTTCTTACTCTGGTGTTGCAAGCTCACGCTGTTAGAAAATTACCCCCACAACCGGTCTCAGGCATACCACGGCCAAAACACCACACAGGTCTGGACAAGTAATTATACTAACTGGAAGGTTATTGTTTGTGCTAATACATACGACAGTACAACAAGAGAGAGAACTTTGTTCACAAAACCATCGCCATCGGAACACACCAGAACTCCTGTAAAAAGAGCAGCGTGTCTCCCAAAGGAACTGGAGCATGCATGCGTACCACAGCAAGCGCAAACAGCTGCACAGCATACATGCATGCGTACAAGAAAGCCGCATCCACCGGATGAATCACGCACATGAATCACATGACAGGCAACAAGAGGTAAGAAGTAATGTCAACTACACAAGACAGAGTCATACAAGAGAAAGTCATAGTTCGATTACACGTTCCCACCAGTTGGCATTACTGGCGGAACCTAGCCGGGGCATTCAGGCCATCACGGGGTCGAAGACGCATTACTTCCTCAGGCTCTACTGGCTGGTCTTCTGTTGTATCATCGGCACTCACACCATCTGTCGGGTCCGAGACATCAGGCTTGATAAGTGACACGTTGACCGTCTTCATTTGCAGCAAGCCTCCTGCATCTCTCTGAATTCTCACGGTTACAGGGGTCACAGTCTCAGTGACGACCCATCCATCCTCGTATGGCGGGAGCCTCTTCTGCTGGCGCTGTGGGCGTAGCATCATCACACGGTCTCCACGGCTGTACGGGTTCTCGGCCTCGGGGCTGCATGCGTCAGGCCGTGACAGCTCCTCTTCCACCAAGTCGCGTATCTGGCTAGCCCTGTTCGCAAGCTTGGTCACCCACGCACTTAGAGACTCAGCCGCAGCATCCTTCTCCACAATGAGATGACGTGGCAACCAGCCAAACATGGCTTCCATAGGGCTAATACCGATGGCAGAGTGTGGCCGCGTACGGTAGTAAAACAGCAGCACTTCTAGGTCGTCCTTCCAATCAGATGACCGGTCAAGCACCTTCCGTATCATCGTCAAGAGCGTACGGTTCATCCGCTCTGCTGATCCCTGTGACTGCGGGTGGTAAGCTGCTCCAGTGCGCACCTTAGTTCCAAAGACGCGAAACAGCGAACTCACAACAGCATTCGCAAACTCCGTTCCGTTATCCATCCTCACGACTTCAGGCGCGCCAAACTGCAGGCAAACCTTGGTCACAGCTTCAGCGACTGACTTGGCATCATGACGAGGTAGCGGTATAGCATCTGCCCACTTCGTAAAAGCGTCGACAATGACTAGCACACAGTGATACCGCCCTGAGCGATCGATACCGAGCTCCAAGGTGTCAATGACTATCTCACTCCAAGGCTTTCCTGGGATGTCCGGGCGAACAGGCTCTCCAACAGGACCTCGCTTCGTGCTTGCTCGGACACAGGCCTGGCATCGGCGCACATAATCTTGGCAAGCTGTCGACATCGACGGGAAATAGCACTCAGCTCTCAGCATGTCATGCATAGTCTGCCAGTTGGCATGACCAGAGTTGGCGTGCACAGCACTGACAAGCTGACCTTGTAGCGACTCTGGTATCACTGGCACAGCAACGCCACCTTCCACAGGCAGCTTCACACTCCGGTACAACATGCCTTTGTCAACCAGTAGCTGTCCGCCGATCTTCTTGAAACACTCCACCGTCACAGGCTCTCCCTTCTCCACTTGGGCAATGGCTTGACGGACATCAGCGCACTGCTGTTGCGCAACACTGACTTGCTCCAAAGTCACAGGTCCAATCACCGTCAGGGCCATGGCAGCTACATCATCCTTCAGCAGGGTCTTAGCATAGTGCGTCCACTTCTGAGGAACGCGAGTTAGCCGGTCGGCCTTGTTGTCAGCTGTCGGAACCCAGATGACTTCCACTTCCAGACCCAATTGTGCCACGGTCTCTTCGATAACCTGCAGACGACGTTGGATAAGCACGCTATGCAACCCACTGGTCTTCACGCGCTTGGAGTCGGTCAGAAGCTGTTGGATCCAACTAGCAACGGTTTTGGAGTCGGTCATCAGCTGGATTCGCCGCGCACCCCACTGGACTGCGAGGTTGAGTCCCTCAGCAGCTGCATCCAGTTCAGACAAGTTGATGTGGCGCTTGTCGTCCATCTTTCTCAGCCAACTGCAATCCTCGATGATACAGCCATTGAACTCCAACGCCGCGCCATACGCGATATCAGAAGCATCGCACCAGACTTTGCATGGTTCCTCTGCACTTCCGGGACCTTGCCACACACCGCCGACTGGGTCATCGCTGCTGAGGCGCTGGGCTAAATCAATGCAAAACCTCTTGAGCTGGTCAGGCAACGGATCGTCATACTTCATGCCGAGAAGGCTAGTTAGACGCTTCAACCAGCTACAGTGCACTCGAAGCCAGCTCGCAACTGGGTAGTGGCCCACCAATGCTCCACACCACTTGTACACTGCACGACGTGTCAACACGTCCGGCAACGCGGTTCGGGGCCCATCTCGCCTAGCCCACTTGACCTCACCGCTGTCATCCTTGCTCAACTGCAGGCCAAGAACGCGCGCGGTCGCCGGGTCTTCCGCCGGCTTTGTCGGGAGTCCATACTCTGCCAGCTGCTTGACGACGGCATCCGTCTGCTCCTTGGGTACATATAGATCGTCGATATAGTTGTCGACAGCCGGAAACTGGCGAGTTGAGTACCGAACAATCAAATCCATCAGCTTAGGTGCTACTGACAGACCAAAGCCCATTCTTGTTAGGACATACGTCTGACCTTTCCACTTCACCACCTGGTAGCGCCATAGGTCAGGGCACACACGGACTTGCAAATATGCCTTCCGTATGTCAATCAGAGCATATGAATTGGGATCTCCTGCACCGCGCCACTGCCGCAGCTTCTCTTGGCACGCAGGTGCTTCAGCACCAGGGTTGGATACCAGCTCTTTGTTCAAAGCAGTGTAGTCCAAACACGGTCTCACAGGCGTCGTCAACTTGTGCTCTTGTTTGACTGCTAGCAGGGGAAGTACTGCAGCCGGTTCTCCGTGGACCGCTGGATCATGAGGTATGAGCCACCCCTTCTCAATCCATCCGTCTACTTCATCACAGAAGGTATTCTCTTGCGATTCCGACAGACCGCTCCGCGAATACTGAGCCACACCGGAGCCAATGAAACCCTCAGGCTCATTATTGCTTGACCACTTCCACGATATCTCCCAGTGTCGCTCTTCAGCGTTCCAGCACACCGTGCCATCACTGGTGGTAAGCACGACATTGCCTGTGTCGGCGTCCTCTGTGACTTGCACATGCCGAGGGAGCTTAGTCGGTGTAGGTACAGCTCCGACAACGTCAGGTGCGCGTTTACCCGACTTCTCCTGGGCCGGGCCGATCACCACACCAGCTAGCCTTCCGTCATCGTATTCCATATGCAGACCCCCACACATTGTCACGAAGTCTGAGCCGATCAGCACGTCAGCCGACACAACGTTCAGGTCAGGAAGCACAACAGCGGACATAGTTGACTCAGGAATTGACACAGGACCATCATCACGCTTGAACTGCAGTTCCACCACGCCACGTGTATTCAGCTGCTCTCCGTCCAAGGCAACAATTCCTTTGCCCAGACTCTCAGTAACAGGGACACCCAAACTGTGAACAAGTGCTTCGCTAATGAGCGTGCGACAGGAGCCAGTATCGATGATGGCTTGCACGCGCCTCCACACATCCCTGTCAGGTACAGCCACGTCTACAAACACACGAGGCAAACCAGGTCGCGTGGTGGTTACCGTAGCTAGGAGACATGGATCGGCGATCTCCACAGCCGCTCCGGCCACGCCTTTGCCTCTCTTCTGGTCTCGGAGCCATTGCTTTTTGAGCTCACAGTCCTGTTGATAATGACCCGGTTGCTCACAGAAGAAACATGTAACATTTCGTGGCCCTGATGACTTCTGCTGGCCACCACCATATCCGCCGCCGCCACCGCCGTAGCCACCGCCGCCACCACCGCCGTAGCCACCGCCACGTCCTTCCGGGCAATGTTTCCGTATATGCCCAGGTTCACCACACTTATGACAGACAATATGGGACTTCTTCCCACCGGAAGGGCCAGACACCACTGCACCAGCAATACCTGGCCTTGCTGACACAATCTTGCGCAGTGCTCTCAACTTCTCCACACAGTCGGACACACGTAAGTCTTTCCCAGCACTTGACAGGCGGATCTCCTTGGCAAAATCAAAAGGGAGACCAGCCAGCAGCTGCTCAATAACGACAGAATCGTCATCACCTGTCAGCTTGTGACCTGATGCAGCCAGCAGCCGCTGCAAATCAGACACGTACGCGTCAGGACTTTCATCAGAAAGGAACCGGCGGGACGTAAATTTTTCGTACGCATCACTTCCTGTCACGCCGAACGACTTTTGCAGCAAAGCGGACACCTTATCCTCGTCCTTCTTATCCGCAGCCTCCATTCTACTAAACACGAGCAGCGCATCTCCTTCCAAAAACAGAGGCAGTCTCTGCATGCGCTTATCAGCCGTGTCCCAACCATTCACCTCCGACAGCACAGAGTACTTCAACCAAAAGTCATCAAAGCTGTCACCTGCCTTCCCACCGAAGGACTTCATCAAGCCGTCCAGCTTCAGGCCAGACATGGCTTCAGGTTCAGAAGCAACGCCAACTGCTTCACTGTCCGATACAGGCAAGGCCTCAACCTCTCCTTGTCTCGCTCTCTGTCTCGTACGACGACGACGAGGCATACACTAAAACTGACGTCTACGCACAAACAATTCCCGGGTTTCGGCACCACGCTGTTAGAAAATTACCCCCACAACCGGTCTCAGGCATACCATGGCCAAAACACCACACAGGTCTGGACAAGTAATTATACTAACTGGAAGGTTATTGTTTGTGCTAATACATACGACAGTACAACAAGAGAGAGAACTTTGTTCACAAAACCATCGCCATCGGAACACACCAGAACTCCTGTAAAAAGAGCAGCGTGTCTCCCAAAGGAACTGGAGCATGCATGCGTACCACAGCAAGCGCAAACAGCTGCACAGCATACATGCATGCGTACAAGAAAGCCGCATCCACCGGATGAATCACGCACATGAATCACATGACAGGCAACAAGAGGTAAGAAGTAATGTCAACTACACAAGACAGAGTCATACAAGAGAAAGTCATAGTTCGATTACACCCTGCACACTACACTGGGTGCGTTGTGTGCTGCATTGCCTGGGAGTTTCCAGGAAATGGAATTCATGGGTTATATAACTGATATTATACAGTCAATGCACAAGAGATGAACCATTACAGATTTGATACGCCGTGGTGTCTAGTTTTCTTTTTGTGCCACCCTGCTGAATGTTTTTTTGTAGTGTTCGTTGACACCGTGTCTTTGAATAACGCTGCCGAGTCTCCAGAGCTGCATAGATGTGCACATTGCGTTCGTGTGTTCAAATCAATCTACCATTGTTTTGCGTGCACAGGCCATCGTCCCAATCCAGCAGTCCTTCCAAGTTTCGTCGGCCAAAGAGGAGAACCACGTGCCCATCGTTGCCACTGAAACGTGTATGTTGTCGAGCAGAGTTCTTGTTCTTTGACGTCCTCATTGGTCTCTGTTTCTCTTTGCATTCTCCACTTCACGTGTACTGTGATGGCATTGGCGTACGGCTATTACATAATATACTTTGGACATGCCGATCTAGGTTTCTGCATGGCATGTACAGTGAAACCTGGTGTAAGCAACCTCTGGGTTTAGCGACCACCTACTCTTAACGGCCCTTTTTCCATGCACCGACAGTTCTACACAGACACTGGGGACCTGGTTCTAACGACCACCTGGCTTTAACGGCCGCTTTTGCTTGCACCGTGGGGTGGTCGCTTAAACCAGGTCTTACTGTACGTGTACTGTATAGTGACTGCTCCACTGCATATGTACAGTGGAACTGACTTACAGTCCATTTCAAAACTATAGACGCGTACCTAGGCAAAAACCGTTATGCCAGCATCTATACCACATAAAATCTGTGATCACTTTGTGCATAATTTTTTCCAAATTGGGCGTCTGTTATCCAATCCTTTAGAAACTATATGAGAGTAATTGTGGAGCGATCCTGAGCAATATACCGAAAACTATTCTCAAAAAGTTCCAGCCAAATTTGAAATATTTCAAAAACCCTACGCGTCTATAGTTTTGAAATGCACTGTAGTACATACTCTGCCTCTGGTAAGACTTGCTCTTGCTTAGTGTGCATATTGTACCGAGCACGGCTGGCTGTGTTGATCCATACAGAATTAGTTAGGATAAGATGTACTTCAGATACTAAGTGCACTTTCCTGCTGCCTATGTGTGGGGGGGGGGGGGCATCTTATTAGAGTTCAACTGTATTGTGTTGGTAATGATTTCCACGTGTCACCGCTTGCTCCGTGTATGATGGGCACTAGTGATGCTGCTGCTTGTACATCTTCCACGACTGCCTTCTGAGATGTCCTCTTCTGCTGTGCTTTTTCCGTCTTTCCTCTCCAGGTGTTGGCGAGCGCATCCACCTGTTGTGCCCCCTGGATGCTATGCTGCTGGTCCGTAAGTCCACCTCCGCTCCACGGCTGCACTCTCTGTGCACGTCGGCCCTGACCAGCCAGCTGTCCCTGCTGCGGTCTAAGCTGGAATCGTCCATCCAGGTATGTGTATTGTGTGGACGGTTGCATTAATTTTTTCTGGGCTGTTCACTACAGGCCCTTTTAGCCCGAGGTGCCAGGGTGCCCATGATGTGTGTAACTCTTGCATGATGGGACATACTGGGCATGCGAACAATAGGGAGGTCTCTGTGTGTGGCGGTGATCGTATGGTGTTCACTTTGCAATGGTCAGCAGGAGCCATCTTGTGCTCGATGCCAATGCAGAATGCCTAGGTTTGTGCATCTCATAGCTGCAGGGAATCATACTATGTACCTGGAATGTTTAGTCTATTTGGTGCTCTAGATGTTGTGCCTTTGTTCCTTCATTTTACAAGTGTATGTGCGCACGTGTGTATGTACTGTGTGTGTGCGTGCGTGCGTGCGTACATGCATGTATGCAATTGTGGGCGTGTGTATGATCCTTTTCCCGATTGTTCCCCACACAGAGTGGTGCATCGCTATGCACGCATCGCCCGTACCACTTCAACCTGCCTCACTCTCCGCACCACACTGCCACCGTCTTCTATCCGAATCGATCGCTTGGCAGCAACGAGGTGGTCGACGAAGGCACATTGGGTGAGTGAGTTAGTAATGTCAGCGCTATCCATCGGGAAAGGGTGATACAAAGAGACTGAGATCTCCCTTTCATTTCAGAATTTGAAACTTTTAAAACCTGTTTGCATCGATATTGTCCACACATAGTTTTTTTCTACTGGTATGTTACTCGTCGGCTAATGTTTATAGAATGTACGTGGGCGGGCGGAAAAAACAAAAGTCAAGAAAAAAAACAAGAACAATTTCCGCTGAAAACTATATGCATTGTACATGTATGATTAATACATGACACTGCTATTCCCAGGGTACATGTACTAGATTATCAGCCCACGCATAGCAAACAAAGTGCTACAATGTGTACCGCATTTTCTGGAGTACTAGTATAAAGGCCGATTCATACTTCATTTCGCGTACGGGAAACGCGTCGCGTCGCGAAAAAGTTGATCTGAGCTCAACTATTTCGCGTACGGGAAAGCCGTCGCGCGACGGTCGATTTCCCGTACGCGACATGAAGTATGAATCGGCGAAATAGGTACGTGCCACATCGGACGAGCAGCTGAGGCTTGTCCGGACAACGTCCAGGCAATAAAGCCGGTGGTCAGGAGCTAGAAGAGACGCTCCACTGACATAGTCTGTGATGTCCAGTGCCTGCTGGATGGCCACTTGTTGAGGGTTCTTCAGGCGTGATGAGCTGAATATACATCTTGGCTTGCTACACTCACTGCAGACGACAGTCAGCCTGGCAGTTTCAGCCTTGAGCTGGACATCACCTTCACGCTGTTGATCCCGCTTTGGCCCTCCCTTGGCGAAGTGTGCTGGTGGCCGACTGGAGAAAAACTGCTCCTATAATACTGCGCAATTGACAGAGGACGTGTCCTGCAGCCTGCGACGATGTCGTAGGAACTGTGGTGGTCATCGGTCCTGAGTTGCGCTTCGGTTACAAGTTCGAGCAGGTGGCTGGAGCAGTACGTCACACATCGCATGAGTAAGCTCATGTGACGGTGAGCTCACTACATACTGATATTTGGTACTCTCGCTGGTGATGCCCTTTATGGCGAACTGTGCTTCCACTTGAGTGTTGGATAATCATGTGCTCACACACCAAACAGCAACCAGACTGTCTCTTTGATTTATAGCTCAATGCTATGGGAGTTATAATTCGAGAAGATACAATAGAAGCCTTGGTTGATCGAAGACTAGTAGAGGCGATGTAGGCGACACCAGATACAGCAGAGTAGACTTCCAGCGCAGCGCCTAGCGGAGGAAGCCGCGGATCATCCGGCCTATAGGTTGGTAGCTTGAGGGATACGCTGGCTACAGCTGCTGCTTATAGAGGTGTTGTAAGGACTGGACTATGCAACTCTGGTGTGGGGACTGGACAAAGTGGATTGGGGCGGGGTGCTGGAAACTCCTCGGGATCCCAGTGTACGTCCACATCCAACAGAGGTAGGGTGAGAAACCGGTGTGGACATCCTAGAATGCAGGGTCACCAATAGTGGGAAACTTCGGAAGGTATGCAATTTCCTCACGTACAACACCGCACGATACAGCAAGCCAGGGGTACTAAATTTACATTAGCAAACTGAAGTCCATAAGAAAAGAAACGACAACTGGCTTTCAATAACCGATGGAAGAGAAACACTCTTTGCCGAAGGGAAAAGACTGACAAGGGAACAAAAAAGCCAGGAAAGGATGTAGGGGAAATTCAAGTACACCATTTGCCATACCACATGGTACGGTGCAGGAGAACCACGCCCGCGGGTACGTGGGACCGGAAGAACCTCCAGTACAAAGTAGAATGTTTTGGATACCGTCATGTCACGTATAAACGCCGAGCTTATTCCTGTAGAAGCCAATGTCGGGGCTAGGCATTTTTTTCAAACCAGGTTTGTCTATATATGTCGACACTAAAACCAGGCTTAAATGCTGACGGCGCATCTTGAAAATCAGGCTTGTGTTCAAAACACCTGATGTTTAGCGACCTTTTTTCCATGCACCAACAGTTCTGTATAGAAACTGCACCAGAAACAGCGGCCACCTGCGTTGCGCGACCAACGACCGACTTTTCGTGTACCAAGTGCCTTATCTGACCTGCATACAGCGACCACAAATGCGGTCCTGGCCGGCAGGCTTGACTGCTGCAACAGGGTTGACGTGCACTCAGAAGCGAGCGCATGCAGTCAACGGATGTGACAGTGCAGGGTGCGCTGCTTGCACTCCAGTGAGGGGTGAAAACTCACGGGTGCTTCGTCTGCACGATAGTGTTCAATGTCCAACACCTGTCAATAATGAGTGTATGAAAGTACATGCATGTGCATGATCCAGGATGCCACGAATGTATGGGATCTTGTTCTAAAGACCACCTGGCTTTAGTGACCGCTTTTGTTCGCACAGTGGGGTGGTCACTTAAAGGGGAACTCCGGTCCAAAATCACCCCCATTTTTTATTGCGGAATCCATTAGAGTATGTCGTAAGTGGTAGAATGGCGAAAACCGGAAGCTTCTACGACAAGGATAACATACCTAAATTACCAATTGCAATTTTCCATATTTGGCACGAGGGGGCCCCCGCCCACCCTGTGACGTAAAACGTTCTCAGTGACCTCCAAATTTTTTTATTCAAATGCAGAAATTTTGAAAAAGGTATTCACTGTTTTTTCTTCAATCAATAACCCTTGTACTAGTATTCATTCGATCATCATGTTGGAGGAAGAGGAGACCACGGGAGGTGTGGAGGTGGACGCCACTTCGGATTCAACAACACCGAGGCCTTTTAGGTTCGAGCCGAAGCGCGCATCAGCGTCTGCGAAACTGTCTACAAGTAATATTTCTGAGACTACAAAACAGATGAACGTGAAGAGAACGCTTTGGTTGCAAGTGCTCGCGTGAGAAGCACTGCTTATGCCGTTGCGGACAATGCAGCATGATGTGGAGCGAGGTCGAGTCGACTTGTTGCTGGGAGGTTCCTGCAGCTTTCAGTAAACGCGGCGAGCAGGAAGGGCTGCAGTGCGTCACGCAGCACTCAGAGTTTGCTGTTGTTTGCCTGCAAAAATCAGTGCTCGAGGTGGCATTGCTTTCCTTCGAAGAATTTCGGGCAAGGTGTGGACCGTGGTCAAACAGGTGAGGATTCACTGAATCGGTTTCATTATTTCCTTTCTTTCCATGTTTCATGTACCGGTACAAAGTAGATGGGAAGTGTTGTGCAATGATTTTGTGTACAGTATTCAAATTCACCAACTTCCATCACACAATCATGAAGTTCTATTGCACCCATGACAATATAATTATACTGGTACAACGATGTCTTTCATTCATACTATTCCTAGCACTGTAAGTGTTTCAACTGTGTGTAAAAGTGATGTAAATTTGAAAAAAGGCCAAAGTGTCTTTAGTATAGTAGCCCATAGAAATATTAATTCGAATCCGAAACTATTTACACTGAAACTATTTACTTTTACACAATCACGAAGACACTCGTGGTATGTGTATCTACATCTCTACAACTGTTTTCTGCAGGATTTGGAGACATGTGGCGTATAGACAATACACATGGTTCACCCATGGATACTTTGGACGCAAGCAGCGGCGTGTGATACCGTCTTGCGTGGTATCGAAGATAAAGCAGCTGTACCAGAAGCCAATGCAGATGCGCACTGGGGCTTTGAGGAAGCAGTTGGACATGATGATGATGATGATAATGCTTCTTGGCCTGGTTGACGTTCACATAATCATTGGTACATGTGCATGCAGAATGTAGAAAACAGTTGACAGACACGATTTATAACTATTCTCGACTCGGGCAATATTTGTGTTTTCGGGTGGGCGCATGCTTTGCACCAATGCAGCTGCATGAACAATCTGGTAAAGTTGACAGATACAATGGCACAAGACTGTACTGTGTTCGGGAGCATGGGGTTGTGCCGGTGCCGTGTGCCGTTGCGAATGCCGAGAATGGTTGTATGCACATCGTTCAACAGGTCCTTCAAGAAGTTGCAGGACATTGTCGTGCAGCTTCTTGGCCACTTTGTGCTCTTGGTGTATTCCAGCCTGTACCTGAGCACACCCTCCTTGGTTTTGGCGTGCGCTCTCCCTATATTGGCATTGTGGGACAGACATGCCGACTGTACCCGTGCTATCATGCCATTGTACGAAAAGTGGACACGTTTTGGTGCCCACTTCAGTATGACAGCATGGAAAATTTCCAGACTACAAATCATACTGTACCTTGTATTTGTGGCAGTGTAGCTGCAACCGGAAAGTAACGTAATGGAAACTTACAGATAAAGAGAACCGAAATAACACACATGATAACGTTCCATGTACATTACATCAATTCTCGACTTCACTGACTAGGATTATGAGTAGAGGACTTTGAGTAGGACTGTAGTCGTTTAGAGCTACGTTCTGGACGGCACAAAATCATGCCGTTCACTTACCTCATCGTGCTCACGTTCCTGGAAGTAAATCGAAGATGGTCTGCTTTTGCTGGCAGCAGAGGTAGAGGAGCTACTAACTATTAGTATGACATGCACCGCCAAGTTTCAGGATGGCAGAGACCCTGGCTTCAAGCGTCGCTGCTGCTTCTGTTTATAGCCACCAATGCTTTGTGTAAACTCTTGTTGGAAATCTCTTTCATAGCACATCTCAGTGAAATGCTCAGTGCAGACACGATTATTTTTCGTCGGAGAAAAATCCTTCCAACATACTCTCCATAGCCAAGCTGTCGTCAGGTTCGCGTCAGCCAGAGGAAAGCCATGCTACGACAGCCCGCAGGCGCCTCTTTCTTCGTGACATTGTTGCATCCAGAGACGCAGCAGCGAGTCGTGACAATAAATCGGGCATGGCACAGAACAACAAGCACTTCAACAATGGCCAAGGACTTTTCATTCTTGCTTGAATTATTTGAAAATTTCATCTGAGTGGACCGGGCTGAGAACGTTTTACGTCACAGGGTGGGAGGGGGCCCCCTCGTGCCAAATATGGAAAATTGCAATTGGTAATTTAGGTATGTTATCCTTGTCGTAGAAGCTTCCGGTTTTCGCCATTCTACCACTTACGACATACTCTAATGGATTCCGCAATAAAAAAATGGGGGTGATTTTGGACCGGAGTTCCCCTTTAAACCAGGCTTTACTGTACATATATCACAGGGTTTGGATTTGATACACTACAACTGCAACACCACACTGGCTTCTACTCGTGAACTGCTTTCTGTTTTCTAGTTATGTTAAAAATATGTTACCAGTACTGCAAGATATGGATATGAGGGCTAAGTTGCATCCCATGATTTCAAGTTCCATGTTGAATTTGTTATGTGTGTGCGTAGAGTCGACACGGCGAGAGCTACACCACCGGTTCAACCTGCCGATGAACATGCCGCTGCTGCGCAAGCACATGACACTCGGAGCTCAGCAAGCCGCCGGTAAGCACCTTATTCGTACGCACCTACTGTCGTGGACATTGACATTCAATGTGATGACTGGGGCCGGCGCCCTTACTGCTTTTAGCGCGTACATGCACTGTAGTTCATGTACACGTCGTAAACATGGACCAGCAGTGCTCACCGCTGCAAGGCCAGCGCCACTGTGGCCGCTTGACTTCTCAACGGATGTCAATGTCTGCTACAGTACCTAACACGGTGCGCTGGTCACGCGATCAGCAAGTCATGCCTGTACGTTATCGGTCAAGACCGTGCTTGATCATGTGTGCACGTTATCAGTCGCGTTGTACTGGCTTCGTAAACGCCTGTTTCGTTTCAAAGTCTGTTTTCAATACAAGCGTGATTTTCAAGATGGACCGGTGGTAAATCTACATACGCCTGGTTTTATAAGAAGTATTGTCATACAATGAAATACCAGGTGTGTATACAAGCCTGATTCCCCACCGTTAGGCGCTGCATCTACCGCTAGGGTTTACCGGGTGTTTGCGGCCGTCGTGAGTTCCCTTCGAGAACGGACACAATAATTTACTCTTTAAAAAAAAACTTTTATACAAGCCTGATTTGAGTGGAAGCCTAGACGCCTAGAAGCGTGGAAGGCTGGAAGCCTAGCCCTCGTGTTGGCTAACTAGTCACGGTGCTTGATAGACTCAGTGTGTCACTTACCCTGGCTATGCTTGGTGAGCGGGGCGCCTGGAAGACTATCACTATCTGCAGACAATCGGGTCAGCTGCTTCGTTCTTGGTGGGGGAGCGAACCTCCTCTGGATGACAATAGAGACAATGCAGCCGCTCCGTGTGTCTGTCTGTGCATGTACGTGTGTGTGTATGTGTGTGTGTGTGTGTTTGTTTGTATGCTCCTTGTCTGAGCATGTGCGCAGCCAAGAAGCGTTTTTGAGCAGATTTGCTATGCGAAGGCGTACTGTACTATGAACGTACTGCAAACGTTATAGTCATGTGATGGCGATGCTGTGTTGACGTGTTTGTCAGCCAGCTGTCAGCCAGCTGTCATCATCTATTGTCAGTATTGACGTCTTGGCATATAATGGCTCACTGTCTCCCAACAGTGTGTCTATAATAGGTGCACTGCCACAGCACAAGACAGTGCTATGTCATGGGTAGCCATTCATTGTGAGGTGAGGAAAGATAGGATTGGGGGGCTATGGCAAGGTTGCAGCTCCATTGGCTCCAGTCATGCCGACTAAAATGCATGCATCTTTCAACATGTAGATTGAAAGAATAAAGTCTTTCTCCAGTTCTCTCTTTCTTTCTTTCTCTCTGGCTCTCTGTCTATTTGTCTCTCTCCCTCTCTGTGTCTCTGTCTCTCTCTCTGTATCTGTCTCTGTCTCTGTCTCTGTCTCTCTCTCTCTCTCTCTCTCTCTCTCTCTCTCTCTCTCTCTCTCTCTCTCTCTCTCTCTCTCTCTCTCTCTCTCTCTCTCTCTCTCTCTCTCTCTCTCTCTCTCTCTCTCTCTCTCTCTCTCTCTCTCTCTCTCTCAATAGTTTATATAAGAAGATGAACTCTACATGATGATCACCGCACAAAGCTACCGACTGCAGTTTGTAACGATGTAGCTAGCACCATACTGTTCGAGCATTGGTTATGCTTTGTGACCTGGTTGTCTTGTTACTGCTAGTACACTGCACTGGTGGGCTGCTGTTTGAACTCAAATCAGTCTGTGAATTGTCATGCTGTGTGTGTGTGTGTGTGTGTACACGTGTTTCCTGGGGCTGCTCGCATCAGGCACATTCAGTGGTGATGTGCTTCAGAACTGGTGTCTCGTATTCACCAGTGATGTGCATTAGTGCTGGTGTCTGTGTGTTCGCTGGAGCAAATCAGGGTATTCCTTGCATATCATTCTGATCATGGTGGTGTGTGTAGTGATGCATGGCGAGTCACCTGACTATATCCTGCAGCATTTATCTACCTGCAGCCAGTGTAGAACAGATGCATGTCCGGTCGAGCACGACCTGACCAACTATCATGGTTTGCTGGCAGGATGTCCTGTGTTTCAGCGAAGTACATGGGTCTGGCCTGGTGAAGCCTTTGACCCATCTATCATGGTTTGCTGGCAGGATGTCCTGTGTTTCAGCGAAGTACATGGGTCTGGCCTGGTGAAGCCTTTGACCCATCTATCATGGTTCGCTGGTAGGTTGTCCTGTGCTTCAGTGAAGTACACGCACATACTCTGGCCTGGTGATGCCTTTGACCCGTCTGCCTGTGCCACTCTGGCGCATCTTGCCAAGAAGCCACCACCATAACCTGCGGGCCAAGTCAAGTCAACGGGGCAGCCGGTGTTAATTAGCACTGTCGGACACGGCGTGTCACGAAGGGATTCCATGGGTGTACATGGGCATGTGGGTAGCACGGTGAAGATTTGCAGTGGTCTGTGCCACACTATGGATTCAGAAGATAATTAGTATGGCTGGCAGTACAATGTATAGGGGAACAACGAATGTACCACAGCAGTGTAGTGCTAGTGCATACTACAATGTAGTGTTGGGATATAATTAGTAATTAGTAATAACCATGGCTTGCGGTAATGGAAAACAGTGTCACTTAACATCCAACAACACCGGCACCGTCTTTGACAAGTCGGCCCACTGCCTGCGGACGCTCATTGTCTTTGTTGTCTGGTGTCTCCTTGCAATCCATCGCTTTCTCGTTCGCTACCAGTCTCGCTTGGCTTATCACGGCCACTGTGGTTTGGTGCGGCAGGGTCAGCCCCAAAGAGCTTCATCCTCACTGCCCTGAATTGCATTCGAGTGCGGCGCCGCAATGAACTACGCGCACTTTCCAACACAGTCAGAGTCGTCAGAGTAGCTGCAAGCAGGACTTTTGAGTGTTAGTAGGCCGCTTGCCACCACCACCAAGGTCAGATGGGCCTATTCTCTTGGCAGTCTGGGTGACACAGCTAACAGTACAGGCCAATGTCACAGCTGTCACGGCTGTCACATCTGTCACAGCTGTTGCAGCTGTTGCAGCTGATAGCTCTGACAGCAGACCCGCAGTCGCCCTTCTGTAGAGTTGTCAGCTGACTGCTGTGGCTCCAGCAACCTATGCCTGACCTGTGGTCGAGACTGCGTAGCGAGCGGGTATAAAAGAGCTGGGATTGAGCAGCATTTGATTATTGCTTTCCCCCCACAGCTTCTAGGTTAATTGTGTTCTTTCGATCGACGACGCCATGTCCTCTTCTTTGCTCCAAGGAGCTTTGCTCCTGTTGTGTGCTAGCTGTGCCCTGGCTGAATCGCCCCCGATCTTTGAGAATTGTGTTGAGCAGTTCCTCTACAATGCCGGTGTCCGCCCATATTATATTTCTGAGTATGCCGACGTGATGCATCGCAACCAGCTTTCCGTTGACGATCTGGCCGAGTTGTCGGCTATTGATCTGTTGCGGGAATTCAGCCGATCATACAACATCACCTACGGTGTGGACATTGTCAAAATTTACGAGTGCCTGCGGGCCGAGGGCAGGTGTGGCGCTGCCTACTGCTCGAACGGTGGCAAGTGCGTGTTCAGTGACTCCGGGTCTACTCACGTGTGCCAGTGCGCCAATGGTTTTGCCGGAGAACGCTGCGAGAAGACCTTTGGCGAGGTGGTGTCCGACCTGCAGATGACGGTCGACGAGCTGACGCGCGAGCTCAAGGCCAAGGGCGTGACGTACACGCGCTGGGCCAAGAACAGCTGCAACGCCACCGCCGGCGCTGAGCTGGTGTACAACGGCTACATGGCCGGCAGCCGGTACGACCACCCATCCGGTTCCAACTACCTGTGCTTGCCACACGCGCCCGTGTACGGTGACTTCAAGCCCGGCACGACCGAGTACGGGCAGATCCACTCGGCCGAGCTGCAGATCCCCAACTATTTCCCACCGTACGGACCGCTCTACCAGGCCGATCCCACCTGCTCCGTGTGCCGCGCTGCCGGCCGGTCCAGCCACGTCATGTTCCCCGCCACCAATCAGTGCCCGCCGTCGTGGACCCGCGAGTATCACGGCTACCTGATGGCGTCCAGCAAGAACCGAGCGTCGTCCACCGAGTTCGTCTGCATCGATCGCAATCCCGACGTCATCCCGGGAGCGGCCAGCCGCGCCAGCACCAACGGTGCCGAGATCATGTTCATCGAGGCCCGTTGCACCACCGGTCTGCCTTGCCCGCCCTACGATGAGGAGAAGGAGCTAACCTGCGCTGTCTGCACGCGTTAGCGAGGCTAGCCGAGAAGCATCCGTTCTCTACTTTCTTTGTTCATTGTCAGCCGAGAAGCATCCGTTCTTTATTTTCCTACTTCATTGTCAGCTCCTCACTCCTTCCTGGCTTCCTTGCTCTATTTCCTGTAGCTGCACAACATAGAATGATGTTAGAAGATTTCCGTGGAGCTCTTTTTTGATTTGATTAGCTGGACAGTTCCAACTTCAGGAGTTATTTTTTTTCTTGCCTTTTCCTGTTTTGCTTTTCATTTCACTGGTCTGAATTCCTACTCGCGAATGACTTTTGAGTTTTGATGCCAAGATTGACCCTCCTTACTGGTAGCTGGCTTTATTGGTGTTGCTTGGCTGTGCAAGCGGGCAGAGAGTGAGTGAGTGTAAGAAGAGGAGCTCATTCTCTGCACAGGTTGCAGAAAATGACTACGAATAGACAAACAATGATGATGTGTTCACTTGCAAAATTTGATGGTTCGGGGGGGGGGGGGGGGGGGGAGCAGTTACGTGGAACTGCAACAGTTGCCTTTCAGCAGATTCAGCAACCCCTACGGTGTCCTAGATGCACTGCATGGAATTGTACTGGTCCGCACACTGTGGATGGATCCCATCACTGTGCATGGATTTTGTGTGGCCTGCCACCTAGCGGCATGTATTCGCACAGCTTCACATCGACATGTAATGGGGCGGTGTCGCTCAATAATTATAATCTGGGCGTCATGAGTCGACCAGTGGTAAGAGCTGTGCAGCTGCCAGACCTGCAGATACTGGGTTGTTAACTCAATAACTGGCGCAGGGCTTCTAACTTGTTGATCAGCCCGCATGTCACTGTGCACAGCCGTCGTACACATGACTGTATATGTGCAGTCACTGACGATCAGTACTACTAGTGCTGGAACGTGGTGTGCAGTAGGCAGCAGTTCAGGTGTTGTAGCTCTTGTTTGCGTAACGCGCTCAGCCGCACGCTCTCCGCGAACACAGCCACCTCTGCACGCTTTCCCCAGTCGAGTACTAGTAGACTCCGGAGCCTGGCACTGCCGTCAATTCGTTTACTGGTCCTGACTTCGTCAAGCATGGTTGACTAGCCATGGTCACTCTGGTGGGCCTGGCACTCCACCTTGTAGTGCCACTGTGATTATTTCCGTCACTTCACAGGATGCTGTGGACACATCCGCAAGCTATTGGGTACTCGACTCGCTGCCAACCAACTGCAACCTGCAACCCAGCTGCAAAGTTGAGCAAGTGCGATGCTGGCCTAATATACCTGGTTGGCGAATAATTAAAAAGTCGTTTAAAAATAATAAGATACTTCGAAGTAATACGTTGCACATGCCACTCAAGGTCTAGGCAAAAGAGCCAGCAACAGAAGATATCACCAGTTTTTATCAATGGTGAAGTGCCCACAGCGGTGAATTATTTCCGACTCGGATGTATAGCTTAGCATGTATTCGTGTGTTTTTATGCTACCTTGCACTGGTCAAATGCTGGAGATGAGCAGGTATGCGTCCAAAGCTCCGCTGGCCCATTTCAGTTTCTCATCATTCTGTCTCGAATACACATGATGTACTCGGCGGCGTTTGCTGTGTCATGGTGTGAAGTTGTGCTGTTGTGAGCATCAGGGCAAGACTGTTGACACGGTGTCATCATGACTGTCCGTGTCTGTTTCCTCTGCCTGCAGGTGGCTACTTGACGAACGTGCACAATGGCCTGAATCTATCATCAAGTAAGTTGTTTGTTGTGTACTGTGCAGCAGCGCTCTGTTGCTCTCAGTGTGGATTTGCTGCAGTACCACTACTGTCACCCACGTTAACCAAACTGGTGGACTGATTCGGTATACTATAGTGTCTTGTATTAAAGCCTGTGTCGTACAGAAACCTGCTTTGAACACGAGCCTGATTTTCAAGATGCACTGGCAGCCCATCAGCCTGATTTTAGTATTGACCTACTTCGAATGGAAGTCCGACTTGAGTAGAGGCCTAGCGCTGACATCGGCCTACAGGAATAAGCTTTGGCTTACAATACGCGACATTATGCACATGATAGATCAGCCATGCACACATGCACAGGTACGTGGTCAAGTCAAGTTGTATCTTGCGAAGCTTAACATGCTTGCAAAAAGGATCCTTTGTATGTTTGCTAATACTCAATCTGCGGACAGAACTGTTTTGTCCTTTGTGGACTCATCAGTGCAGCACAGAGAAAATGAGGCCGAGCCTGATAGCAATGAAAAATGAATTTTCCAAAGCCAGATTTAAACCAGGCCCGAACGTACTTTGCTAGAGTGCTCAAACTGACAAGTCAGCGAGCTCTGCATAACGCAAACAGCAAAGGCACCACCTCACACGAGTTTGTTAATAAGATGAATTATGAGCATGATCGAGTGTGAATACTATTGTGCTCTGCCTACAAGACACGTGGGAGTCCACTGTGGGACAATACAAGGACCGATTTATTTACATTGAGCATGCGCGTGTATAATACGGATAAGAGAGAGAGAGAGAGAGAGAGAGAGAGAGAGAGAGAGAGAGAGAGAGAGAGAGAGAGAGAGAGAGAGAGAGAGAGAGAGAGAGAGAGAGAGAGAGAGAGAGAGAGGAGAGGGAGAGGGAGAGGGAGAGGGAGAGGGAGAGGGAGAGGGAGAGGGAGAGGGAGAGGGAGAGGGAGAGGGAGAGGGAGAGGGAGAGGGAGAGGGAGAGGGAGAGGGAGAGGAGAGGGAGAGGGAGAGAGAGAGGGAGAGAGAGAGAGAGAGAGAGACAGTACGGAGAGACAGTACGGAGAGACAGTACGGAGAGACAGTACGGAGAGAGCCAATGCTGAGGCAATCACTATACACTACACTACAAATACTACTTCAAAGTACATGTACCAGGTACTGGTAGTTAATTTACAGTATAGGGTTGCGTTCTAGAAATGAAATAAGTGATTGTATGTTTATTGTGAGCTCTTTTCCTGTAGAAAGGAAAGGGATATATGGATACAAGTCAAGAGTAACTGTCCACCGCTGTAACTACAAACTAGATACTATAATGCAGTCAGAAAGTGCAATAACTAGGCACAAAACTGGCAGAGTACTGAGACATTCGACGACCTAACGGAGTAACGGTTACTCTTAACTTGTATCCATTGTCCCTTTCCTTTCTACATTACATTTTATTATTGGCTCAACATCCGAGTGTCTTTTTCCTGTGCTACTGTTGCTTTGCTGCTGCTGCTGCTACTGCTGCCTGTTTATGTACAGACAGCGGCGGCGAGGTCTCACTGGTGCAGGGTGTCTATGCGTATCACCATTACATGCAGGATAGATTTAACGACGATGTGAGTGCAACTCTGGCCTATGTACCGTATTCCCTGATAATAAGCCGCACTTGATTGCAAGTCGCACCCCCCATTTTTATGTCTGTGCCTAATTGTTTCAATACATTGACATAAGTAGGAAGTCACACTCGATTGTAAGTCGCACCCCCTTCTTTGCCCTTGAACTTGAAGGTAATTGTAAAATGTGTGACTTATATTCAGGGAAATACAGGAGGCGCTGCTATACAGTACACGCCTAGTCAAACAATGCAACAGCTTTCCTGTATATTTACATCACTGATCGGGAAGATTCAGTTGCTTGGGCCTAAGCAATTGAATGTTGATCCTCATCGGATCAATCATCTCCGTTTAAGGAATAGAAGGAAAATAAAAGCGTTCAGCTAATGGTGACAAGAGGTCTCAGTCCTCATTTGTTAGACTTACCTGTCTTTATAAATGTACTTCAAGTAACTTTCTCTCTCTCTCTTTCTCTCTCTCTCTCTCTCTCTCTCTCTCTCTCTCTCTCTCTCTCTCTCTCTCTCTCTCTCTCTCTCTCTCTCTCTCTCTCTCTCTCTCTCTCTCTCTCTCCTTGTTTCCTGTGTGCCTTATTTTGCTGCTGCACCAGGGCTGGGGCTGTGCGTACCGGTCCCTGCAGACACTCTGGTCTTGGTTCAAGTTACAGGGATACACCGGCTTAGATGTCCCATCACACCGTGACATTCAACAGGTCAGTGTACACATGTGACATTCCCCCCCCCCCCCCCCCTCCAGGGGCGTAGGAAGCAGTTTAATATTGGTGCGGCGGAATTGTGAGAGGGGGGTCCTCCCCCGAGATTTTTTTGAAAATTGGGCCTAAAAGGCCATATTTTAATGCTACAGAATAATATGAGAAAATAAGAATATGCATGCTGATGATACACCGCATTGTCGATGAAAAACATGGTACCTGTACAAGAGTCGACAAGCCATCAACAAGGTTGAAATGTAAAAAATAAAATAAAATAAAAAATTCGAAAATTATTGGTCCGGCGACCGCCGGGCCTGCCGGACCGGTTCCTACGCCCATGCCCTCTCTCTCACCTCTCTCTCTCTCTCTCTCTCTCTCTCTCTCTCTCTCTCTCTCTCTCTCTCTCTCTCTCTCTCTCTCTCTCTCTCTCTCTCTCTCTCTCTCTCACCTCTCTCTCTCTCTCTCTCTCTCTCTCTCTCTCTCTCTCTCTCTCTCTCTCTCTCTCTCTCTCTCTCTCTCTCTCTCTCTCTCTCTCTCTCTCTCTCTCTCCATCTATCTATCAACCTATCTATCTCTACTCATGTCCACTTTCTATCCATAAAGCAAAACCCCAGTGCCAACCCGAGCATGTACTCTAGCTCTATGGCGTGCGGGGAAGTACTTTTTTTACGTAACTAAAACTGTTCAAGTGTCTTCGCTCAATAACTAAATTACGTTCATCTGTGCTCTCCGAGACATGTTACGAAGTTATTCATTTCATGAACATACGATGTTGGAATATCGTTTAATTTGCTTTGCAGCATGTTAGAGCAAGGCGAATGAATGGTGTTAGCTGCTCAGTGCGCTGTACCTCTTAACATTTAACATTGGAAGTGCGTTGTGGTGTGGCATGTGTCTTGCTTGCAGGCCTTGGTTGATGTTGAAGATAAGCCACCCAAGTTTGTAGGCAGCCGGCAGTGGATCGGTTCAATTGAAGTCCAGACTGTGCTCAACCAGCTAATGCAGGTGCGTAGTGTCCCCATTGCATTTCAATAGATCCATGTTATTGTAGAATATGCGTGGCCTTCTTCATCAGTCTTCAACACACTTCCATACATCATCTCTTCAAGTTATCACCTTCACTACCACCACCACCGCCGCCGCCGCCGCCACCACCACCACCACCACTATCTTACAGTGCAATTTCAATTGTTACAATCTCCTAATTTTCGCTCTTAGAGCTTCATCAGGGAGTATGTGAAAGTAAAGCTGTCTCAGTCGTCGTGTATTGATATACAGTGGTCCCTCTATAATCCGGCACCATTTGTGCCACGAAAATCTGCTGGATTAGGGAGGGTGCTGGATTAACAAATCAGATTTACTGCTGCAATGTGCATGAAGAGGACATTTAGGCTACTGAAAATTGTGCTGGTTTATCGAGGGTGCTGGATTATAAAGTGCCGGATTAGAGAGGGACGACTGTAACAACAACTGTGAAGTATGAGAAGCAACCCATACATCCATGTAGAATATGCGTGGCCTTCTTCATCCCTCTTCACTGTCTCCAGCACACACTACAACACATCCGTGTAGAGTATGCGTTGTCTTGTTCATCTGTCTTGTTTCTGCTTTTTGTTGTGGATGTGCTGTTGTCAGACTAGCTTCATCCAGTATACTAGTGTAGGAAACACTTCGCAATGCCCGTTGTGGTGAAACGTTGACTTTAATTCAATTTTCTATTTGACTTTCCCGCACTGCTGCCCTTCTTTCGTCTACTTGTACCACACACAGTAAAAAAAAAAGAAGATAGGAAGCTGCAACAGAGTTTGCATGTCTTTACCGTGTGAGTGCGTGAGAAAGCTGTGCATCAGAGCATGGAGCACTCTTCGAGCCGTGGAGTACCCTACTTGGTTATGTACAGTCGACCTTGTGAATAACAACCTTGGTACATCAAATCGTCAATAACAACCTTGGTACATCAAATCGTCAATAACAACCTTGGTACATCAAATCGTCAATAACAACCTTGGTACATCAAATCGTCAATAACAACCTTGGTACATCAAATCGTCAATAACAACCCTTTTCTCATGCCCGGTCGAGGGTCGTTACTCCCAATGTGGACTGTAGGCCATACACACGGATACAGAATAAGTCAATGTGAGAATCGTTGGCTTAGCTGTTATGTTACGTCTGCTCTTCTTCGTGTTGGCCCTACTGCCCTGCACAGGTGGAGTCGCGTATCTTGTTTGTGATGAATGGTGCCAGTATGGCGAGTCATGCTCGTGAAATCGCCATGCACCTTCGGCAGCAGGGCACTCCCATCATGATCGGTACGTACCCCTACTGGTCAGGCAAACACCAGAGTAGAACATACAGTGCAACTCACCTACAATATAGTACATACTCTGATAAGACATACACTTGCTTAGTACGTACATTGTCCGGGCCAATGGGTGTAGTGCTAGTAGTATTATTTTTATTTTACACGGGTAGTCCAAACAGGCTATTGCCTTCTTGCAGGGAACCCTAGGTGTTGGTTGGCAAGTGTGACAAAGATGGCGGGGGAGTCGTCGAATGAGTGTATCGTCCAATAATGAAGCATGTTTGATAAATATGGTGGTAAAGACACACCTGGCAATATGGCGGTAAACACACGCCTGCCCACACACGCTCTCTAAGCTGCAAAGTTCTGGCACAGAGCTCTCCTTCTCACCACCACCACCAGTGCAGTGGTGTCTTCAACTTCATTCTCCTGAGTCAAGCTCCGTTTGAAGTATGTTGGGATAAGAACTACACTATCCTGTTCCCCATGCGGGTATGTCCTATCAGGGGTTTTACTATACTCCAGATGGATCTTCATTCAGTGTAGTGTCTTGCCTCATCTGTGGGCGCAGGTTAACTCCGGGTCATCTGGTCATGTTACACCCAGCCAGGAAACCTCTTCTTTTCGAATGGTCTAGATAGTGACATGCTACGAGGTGCAGAAATAAATAAATAAAATAACGAATAGCAGGTTATACATGTACACGAGGATTTTCTTGGCGTGTCTCGTTTGTTTATGGCCTCCTGCACCCGAGCTGTTTGGAAGTAACTTTCTGCTTGTGTTACCCAGGCGTTCAGGCTTGTACGTGCATGTCATTTGAGTGTTTGTGTTGTTTGCGTTCTAACTGTGGTGCTAGGTGGTGGAACACTTGCCCATACGATTATCGGAATTGACTTCAACGACCGCACCGGTGATGTACGGTAAGGGAGTAGTAAGGTGACGTGTTCGCTTTCATTTTGGAGTGGTGTCACGGGTGAACGAGAATGTTCTGGTCATGTACATGTACATGTACACTCATACCGCTCTTATCCGGACCTCAAAGTTACTGGCACCTCAGTCTATCGGGCACCCTGTAGACGAGTGCTCCTTTCCCGATTGTTGTGGAAATAGTGATGTTCTATGCCAGATCTCCAGCCCCTCTCCATTGAAATGTCTGTGATTCAGAGGTTCGGACATTTAAAAGTTACGTGCAGTGTCGTGTCCTGGACTGCCTCAGATACTGTAAGAGTTGAAAGTGTGACGAGTCTAAAGTTTAAAACGATTTGCAAAAAATCCCCACTTGGCGGGCACAAAGTTGAACAACCCTGCCATCACACACCTGTCTTCTGTTTCTCTAGTACAGAAGAGAGAAGGAATAACATTCGTGTAACGTTTCTTGAGTTAACGATGGATTCTTTCTCGTTGAAATGTTAGACTTTGTGCCCCATTTGAGATTCAACTCTTGCAGTAAACGTGTGAGTGTATGGCCACGTAGCCATGGTGTTCCAGTGGAGCTACTGTATGCTCACTGTATCCGATAGTGAAATTTCGGTATTAAATATCTCACAAGGCCATAAAATCTGCACTATATAGTATATAGCCGGGGTACTGTACATTCAAGGTGAACGTCGTATGTAAGCTTCTGCTTCGCCTGAAACTTAGAGAAATAACGTAAATAGCAGGTGTCTGGATTAGAGTCTACCGCTTCCGTGTTTTGGATCCGGATTTCTATGTGGAGATGAGGCTCTCTACATTGTGGTGCATTCAAGGAAAATGCGTACAGATCTGCTGCGTACAGCCACCAAATTTGGAAGGGGAAATTCCCAATACGCATTCCACGTTATTTCTTTGCGTTGCTGCTGTTACCTGTAGGTACTTGATTCTTGATCCACATTACACTGGCGGTGAAGACATTGGTATTATTCATGCCAAGGTAAGCAACAGAATGTGTGCGTGTGTATACACACGTCACATACTGCGGACTGCGAAAGAGCTGTTACTTTATTGGTACATGTACCTGAACCTGTTGGCTCTTGGTGTCATTTTCCATGCATTTACACTGCTTTGGCGTTGAGTATACTTCTGGATAGGGAGACGTGCGGGTAGAGGTGTACTTTACGACAAGCTGCAGGGTTGTGCATCATCTGTACACAGCAGAGTTGTGCATCAGCTGTACATATAGCAGTAGCATTTTGGATGTAACAGTTAACCCTCCCTGTCTTCTGTTGTTACACGCGCATGCTGTGTGGCATTTTGGCACCGTGTTTGCTCTTAGGGTTGGTGCGGCTGGAAGAGCAATTCCTTCTGGGACAAACAGGTAAGTCTACCAGAGACCAGAGAGCAATTCGAAATTTTGTTGTTGAAAAACAAGCACATTTAGCTCCACGCTTACTTCAGCTGTGCTGGTTTTTGATTGATACTTTTGAAATTTGATTTATTTTCACCAGGTGATTGGACACAATCATCTCTCCAACACCTTGCAGTGAACGACCGTGCTTGTGAAGGTGATGGAGAGACGATTGTTTGGCTGCAGTGGTGAGCCTCCGAGTACTGGAGAAAATGATTGGATACAACTAAAGGCAAATTCCCATACAGGACAAGGAAGATATATGGGGGCCAAAGCATCATTGTTTTATGGGCAGATTTGTATCCTGATGATGGCTCCTGGCCGAAAAATTTGATTGACATATTGTAATTTGCAGCGAAGAGACCTCTTGAAGATGGCGTGTGTAAGGCAGGCAGATTGGCAAGCTGCATCCTGCAGCATTGGGAAAAACCCTGACACACACACATGCCCGCATGCCTGGGTCCCCTCATTCAGCTGAATAAGCCTGCGTGCCCCCCATAGCTATAAATTATTCTTTTTTTGTTATTTTCTGCAGGCTCACTACAACATGTGCATGCCACTCCGACCAGATATTATCTAGGGACGGGCAGAAACCAGCAGCTCATGAAACAGTTTTGAAATGCAGCACTTATGCTATAAATATTGTATTGTTGTATATTCTTCTTCAACATTTGCCTAAAAAATTCCTCTACAAGCAACTTATCAATTTGCACTGTCGCATTGGCATTATTTATACTTACTTGCTTGTACTTTGTATATAACCCATTTAGTATTATTAATTTATTATGTACATCCATTTAGGTTTGGTAAAAAAATATTAGATATACCACTATAGTTTAGTTTCAACGTTACACATTCTTTCTCGCCAGCTAAGCGTCCTCTCTCCTCCGTTTATCTATTTTAAATGTACATGACATCCATGTAGAATTGGTTGTGCGGCTGCTTCATGGCCTGGCGGAAGCTCTGCTGGCTGACAGCCAAGTGTGCAGGCAACTGGATTTGAAGTCCGGCTTGTTGCTGATGCTGCTGCTGATGTGGAGAAATGTCACTGGCCGCCAAGGACACATTGTCCACATTCTTGCCATTCCTTCTGTTGGTGAGAAGCGGCGATGGCGATTTGGGATGCGGCGACTTGGAATGCGGCGACTTGGAATGCGGCGATTTGGAATGCGGCGACTGCACATCAGCGGAATGCGACATGCTGGTCATGTCGGTGTCTACCATTTGCTTGCCATTCTGCTGTGCAGTCATGCCACTGGCGGGTGATAGAGGGACAGCACTGGATAGCGTGTTGAGACTGGACATGCTGCCGCGACGCAGCTTGCTGGCGATGCGCGACAAGCGCTCCTTCTCCTTGTCCGACAGGTTGTTGCTGCTGCTGACGGACATGGCGTCGAAGTGGCGTCTGATCTTGCGATACTGGTTGGCGGCCACGCGGCTGGCGCTGGTGATGGTGCTGGCGCTGCTGTCGACGCTGGTCACGCTGCCGTTGGGACTGTGCTGTTCCAGTGTGCCGTGGCCGCCGCCGGGGGAGTGTGCATGGCCGTGTCCCGCCATCACATGGCTGTCCAGGCTGGAGGTCTCGGCGGCGGCGTTGCGGTGCAGCGAGGCCAGCGTCGACATGGACATGCTGTCGTACGGGCGTAGGTACTGGTGCATGCGCTCAGAGTTGGCGCCTCCGCCGCTGCTGCTGTCCGTCATCATGCCCATTGCTCTCGGGCCGGCGATGGTGTAACTCAGTGGCGTCCAGGGACCTACGGGACGATCCGATCCGGCCACTTTGATGTTGCCGTTCTTGCCGTTCTTGCTGGACTGCACTTGCAAGTGTGGGAAGTCTGCATCAGTTAAACAATGACCCAAACAAGCGAACAGGACGTCAGTGTACAGATTTCATGCATGTATGTAAAACCTGCTGTGACTGCCCTTGCGGGCATAACCACTCCTCTGGCCACACAGAGAATATAGCTGCGCACTATTCGTTCAGGCAGGCCATTCCTTACCTTTCTTGGTGTGACCAAAGTGCATGTAAGCAAGAAAAGAGCAGGACTTTGCGCAGCTTCATGCTTTCATCATAGAAAGCCAAGTGGCGAAAACAATCCACTCCCAAAATCGCTCAGATTAGGCGTAGCTGCAAGTATTCAGTGAATCTGTCCGTCTCGCTTCCTCACTCACCTTTGATGATTTCTGCTGAGAAGATGTAGTAGCATTGCTCACTGAACGTGATCTTGTTGACGGTGTGTCGGATATGCCCAGCCTAGCAGCAACGACAACACGAAGACAGCAATGATGTCGGTGACATTGACAACAAGAAAGGCCATGCAGCCTGCTGCATTGGCTAATAGCAAATCACCACTAAAACGAATCAGTCACACACTGCAGTTTTGCTACTGTACCAGTACGGGTGCACACACTGCTTTTGCTACTGTACCAGTACGGGTGCACACACTGCTTTTGCTACTGTACCAGTACGGGTGGACTCTGTGGACTCTGTGCCCGCCAAGTACTAATACACACGGTGCCACAATTAGTTTGTAAGAATCGTAAACAAAAAAGCTCTTGCTTTCGAGTGAGAGTTAGTCTGATAATTATTTAAACCAGGCCTTTGTATTCTTACTAAGCCATTGCATCTGATTTCTAGCATGACTGTGGTCATTTCCGGCATTGCATGTCGTACCATGCATGCACTCTCTCAACACAAATTGAACGCAAAATTAAACACAAAAGGAACACAAAGGAACACAAATGGAACACAAATGGAACCCTTACTCGTAGCATGCTGCTGGCATACTTGCGAGCTTGCCGCCTTTCCTTTAAGCCCTCAATGTTGGTGAACAACCATTCTACTACGTCGGACCCTGGAGAAGGAGAGAGAGAGAGAGAGAGATGAAAAGAAAAGAGCAAGCGACTTTGCTAGTTATTGTTGCACTAGTCTTCATTTTTATGCGCTTGGGCTTTGGTTCGTGGTACAACGGAACTCTTAGTAAGTACTCTGAAAGACGTAGTACACTTGCTTAGTAGGAACATTATCCAGGTCACCGGTGTACTCCTCCATACTGAAGTATGCTGGGATCAGAGTACATGGTCAGGGTCCATCTTGTCCTTGGCAACAGGGATTTTCCCCTACAGTGGTACATGCATGTTGCAGCACACTTTATGGGTATGCATGGGGGGGGGGGGGATCAACAACACTTTCCCAGCACCCTGTACATGGGATACTAAGTGCACTTTCCTGTTCCCCATGGGGTGTAGTACGTCTTGTCAGAGTTCCACTGTTACAGTTACAGGCAGTTGACAGCAGCATTGATCAGACTACCCACAGCAGCATTGATCATTGATCAGACTACCCAGGGCATTGATCAGACTACCCACAGCAGCATTGATCAGACTACCCACAGCAGCATTGATCATTGATCAGACTACCCAGGGCATTGATCAGACTACCCACAGCAGCATTGATCAGACTACCCACAGCAGCATTGATCAGACTACCCACAGCAGCATTGATCAGACTACCCACAGCAGCATTGATCAGACTACCCACAGCAGCATTGATCAGACTACCCACAGCAGCATTGATCAGACTACCCAGGGCATTGATCAGACTACCCACAGCAGCATTGATCAGACTACCCACAGCAGCATTGATCAGACTACCCACAGCAGCATTGATCAGACTACCCACAGCAGCATTGATCAGACTACCCACAGCAGCATTGATCAGACTACCCACAGCAGCATTGATCAGACTACCCACAGCAGCATTGATCAGACTACCCACAGCAGCATTGATCAGACTACCCACAGCAGCATTGATCAGACTACCCAGGGCATTGATCAGACTACCCACAGCAGCATTGATCAGACTACCCACAGCAGCATTGATCAGACTACCCACAGCAGCATTGATCAGACTACCCACAGCAGCATTGATCAGACTACCCAGGGCATTGATCAGACTACCCAGGGCATTGATCAGACTACCCAGGGCATTGATCAGACTACCCACAGCAGCATTGATCAGACTACCCAGGGCATTTTGCTATGGCTGGGTATCACCCTCATCTCTGGGGTTGCTCCCCATGTTAGCGTTGCTTGCGTATGATTGAGTTCAATAAATGAATAAACATAGTGGCTGTTGTCCAGAACATACCAATGAAGGAGCGTGGTAT